CAAACAGGAGTCTGCCAGGGAGATGTGGCCTCTCCACTACTTTTCAATATTGTCGTGGATTGCATTATGAGGAAAGTCTTTGAGGGCAAACGGGGCATTCAATTTGATGAAGATCACTTCTTAAAGGGATACTCCACTTTTTTTTGGAAATAGGCTCATTTTACAACTCCCCCAGAGTTAAACTGTTGAGTTTTACCGTTTTTGAATCCATTCAGCCGATCTCCGGTTCTGGCCGTACCACTTTTAGCATAGCTTAGCATACATCATTGGAGTGGACAAGACCATTAGCATTTCTAAAAAAAAAAATGACCAAAGAGTTTCGATATTTTTCCTATTTAAAACTTGACTCTTCTGTAGTTACATCGTGCACTAAGACCGACGGAAAATGTAAAGTTGCGATTTTCTAGGCTGATATGGCTAGTAGGATCTATACTCTCATTCCTGCGTAATAATCAAGAAACTTCACTGCCGTACCATGAGAGCAGCAGGCGTAATGATATGACGCTGCGCCTGAAAATAGGCCACCTTCCGTCAACACAACGGAACTATTTTCAGGCGCTGCGTCATATCATTACGCAACTTATCACAACTCTTTGGTCATTTTTTTTTTAGAAATGCTAATGGTCTTGTCCACTCCAATGATGTATGCTAAGCTATGCTAAAAGTGGTACCGCCAGAACCGGAGATCGGCTGAATGGATTCAAAAACGGTAAAACTCAACAGTTTAACTCTGGGGGAGTTGTAAAATGAGCCTATTTCCAAAAAAAGTGGAGTATCCCTTTAACGGACCTCATGTTTGCTGATGATGCTGAGGCCACAGATATCCTCTACGACATCGCTCATATCGCTCAGTCGTATGGCCTTCAGATCAATGTCGAAAATACCAAAGTACTCACAACGGATGGTTCCCAAGCAATCGTCCACCTTGCCGGGGTCTAGATTGAACAAGTGCAACAATTCAAATACCTTGGTTCGCTGGTTCAGGAGAAGAAGGTGGCATCTTCTATGGAGACCTACACCAGAATTAGGCAGGCAACGGCGGCGTTCGCTTCCCTTAAATGATGTCTGTGGAAGAGAAACAACATCTCCACAAAGATCAAGTTCCGCCTCTTTCAAACGCTGATCCTACCAATTATTCTCTATGGATCTGAAACATGGACCTTGCTCAAGATGGATTTGACCAAACTTGAAGTTTTCCAAATGCGATGCCTACGCCAGATCCTGGGAATTTCGATTCACGACCGCATCACCAACGACGCAATCCGAGCCAGATGCCAACAACAACCAGCCATCGAAGAGCAGATACAACAACGAAGGCTGAGATGGTTTGGACACGTGTGCAGAATGGATGCAAATCGAATACCACACCAACTCCTCTGGAGGAAACGACCAACCCAGTGGAGAATCCAGCACACTGCACCCAATAAAACATGGATCAAGCAAATCGAAGAAGATCTGAAGAACCAGCGGCTTGACCCACAGCAGGCAAGAGTATTTGCCACAGACCGAAAAGCAAGGAGACAAGTGATCGAACGAGTTTGAAACGCTGTGGCACCCACAGCAGCATACTGGTTGCGAGGTCGTCCTCCCCCAGATGCCAGCTAGGGATCAAAAGAAAAAAAAAGAAGACATGTGCAGTAGCAGCATGTCTTACATGCTCACAGCAATGTCTGTGAATGTACTGCAATAGAAAGTCTCAGTACTTGCTCTGCAGCGGCTGCAGGGTAGCAGATCTATTCCGCCAAGACCAAATATATTAACATTTCCATTACCATTACATGCCAATCTCATATAGTTGTCATAAAAGAAATGTATCACAATGAGCATAAGACAGACTTATTTTTAAATAGACAGACATTTAAAAAGCTTACCGACCCCAAACTTTTGAACTGTAGTTTACATGGAGAAGATAAATGTATATAATATTTAAGGTGTGTCAACGTTATTGTTTCTTAATGTCATTGGTTCTCTAATGTGTTATGATTTCTATTAAAATGCACTAAACTGCAAAGCAAATGGAATCGAATCACTACATCTGATAGATACTATTCTTCTTAACAGATGAGAAGAGAAAAGCTTTTAATATAACATTTTCAGAAAACAATGGCCAGTTGCAATCTGCCAGATCATTAGCAATGATCTCACACAACACAGAGGAGAGTTTCCCGCCTTTATTTGGACGCATGAAAATTAACCATAGTGCTGAATTGGAGGTACTAAGGCATGTTTTTAAATGGAGGAAAAGAGAACGGAATAAGACAGGGAGGTTTCTTCAGCACTAAAAAATACAGTTAAGGGTGATGGCAGCTCGTAAGACTATGACTTCAGAGCACTGAAGCAGAATTCATCCTAAAAACAAGGCCAGTTTAAAGAGATACAATATTCTGGCTTTATTTACTCAATCTTATGTCATTCCAAATCTGTATGGCTTTTTGATTGCAACCAATGTGCTGGTCAATCTGTTTCATGCAATTACAAAAAAACAAGGCCTGGAGCTTTCTAGCTTCATAAATTACCTTAAAAGTGGCCCATATGACTGGTGAGCTGTAATCAAAGTAGTCAAGTCATTTGAAAGCTTTGAGAGATGAACACATATGTAATTTTGTAATTTTTACTGACAAATAATCTTCCCCTCCAGGTTAACTGCTGCAACCAAATCTGTTGATTCAGTTTTGTGAATCAATAATTCATTGAAAAGACATGACTCCAAAATATATACAGACATCATGCATGCATCATGCATTCTCTCATGAAGTCATATGGCTAGATTTTATGCTGCCTTTTTGTAATTTTGAAGATTGACTCACTCAAAAAATCTAATTTAGTATTCCACAGAAATAATGACATATTTTGCATTCTTGGGTAAACTATTCCTTTATATAGTTTTTGCAATTAATTATTTTATTTTTTATATTACATCATACTGTTCACATTTAAAGTAGATTTACGGTGTTATTTGTTGCAGCCTATAAAGAGGAAGATTGATACTAACAAACATGCATCCGTATTAGGGATAACAATCAGGAAGTAATCCATCTACAGACAAAGGTCAGTACTCGCGCTGCTCAGGGTCAAAAGGCAAGGAGCCAGAACATTGTTACATGTGGGACTGCCCTAATCTTCTGCATTATATCAATTTCCATCAGAAAATCCCTTGCATGGGAAAAGCAGACACTGACACACTTTACAACAATATATGTGGACAATTTTGCATGTACAAAACATATACGCATATAAAAATGAGGTTTGATTCTTTGTGTAAGAATGTATGAGAGCTCACTCTCCCTTTCAGTTAACTTCTACATAAATGCAAGAAGACCTCAACAGGAAGCCCCGCCCCAAGTTCACACCATTAGTTGAGACAGAAGTTAATTTGTCCAAATGACCTACAAATAGCTTACTTATAGTTATATAAAATAGAATAGGAGAAGGTATTTGAACACTGAAAAAAATTACACGCATGCCTTTTAAGGATAAGGAAGATGATTAATAGAATAAAATATTTAAAAAATATTTGGGTTAATGAGTTCCTATGGAGCTAAAATGGTAACACGTAACAATACGGTTCAATTTGTTAACATTAGTTAACTACATTAGATAACATGAACTAACAATGAAAAATACTTCTGAAGCATGTTTAATTAAAATTTTAGTTAATGTTAATTTAATATATTATTAAAACCAAAAGGTGTGTCTGCTTAATATACATAATATACATTGCATAATGCATTAACTAATGTTAACTAATAGGACCAAATTGTAAAGTGTATTGTAAAACATGTTTTTGGATAAAGGGAATTCAGAGGATAAATTGAAAGCCCAGAGATGGTAAGTCAGGTGAGCTCTGGGTCGACATCACTGTCAAGTTCTTGATTCTGCTTGGTTGCACTTGAGTTTCCATTAGGAGCTGAATACGTTTCAGATTAAGGTCAATAACCGAGTTTGTGTAGAGTCAGCACAGTAAACTGCACTAAAACCTCAGCAGATTTAAGAATTTATAAGAATAATTCAGCCAAAACTGCGTCATTATTTACTCACCCTCATGTCGTTCCAAACCCTTATGCTATTATGTCTTCAGTGGCACACAGTCAAAATAAAATCAAACAGTTTTTTTTTCAAATCAAACACAGCATCAAACGTCGTTAGTTCTCAAGTGTCAAGTAACCAGAAATAATGACGTCAAACCTGTACACTATAGGTGCCATATTTAATTTGAAACCTGCAGTGGAGGTGAAGGTAAAGTTGTAAAGTAAAATATAGAGCACAAATCATAGGTACTACTTTTTTAAGATTGACATCCCTGTGTTTACTATAAGCCAGTGTCTTTGTATGGACAAATTCTGTGTGAACACTCTTTTGAAGATCCCTTTTGTGTGTTCCACTGACAAATAAATAAATAAAACCCGAATGAAGGTTTAAATTGTCATAATGGTGAGTAAATGACATTTTTTTAAAGCCACTTTTTATTTACTTTGAACAAGTCTATATGGCCACTGCACCATTTTAAGGCAACGTTTTCCTTATATGACCTTGGAATCATCATGTACTTTCTCAGCCTCTCCCTTGCTTAAGTGATCCCTTTCACCTCCTCTCTTCCTCCTCATTCTCCCTTTCAGCTATCACATCATTAGAGAGCATTCAAAGTCCTGGCATCCAAATCAACAGAAACGCCTCCTAAGTGATCCTCCCTTGGGCGTATAATACCTCACCATTAGAAATCTCAGAGACACACATACTTCCCTCCTTCAGCGGCTCACGTCAGACAATCGTGACCCATTTGGATGGTTATTACTTACACGCAGGGACCCTAGCCCTGCCTGTCCAAACACACTCATCCGCTGGCTAGGCAGCTCTGGATATCTGTTCTGACAAAGTAGAGTCAGCAGCAGCCTTGGCTTGTAGCTGTGTGTCTATGTGTGTGTGTGTGTGTGTGTGTTTGTGGCTCTGTGAAGGAGCCCTCAGCGTTAATGTGAACTGATGGCTCTTTGGCAAGCGCTTACTGAGTGGTTTGAGGATGCTGTTGCTGGCCTCCTCATTGTTCTCTGCGTCTGACCTGTCCGAAGTGTTCTCAGTCACTTTCTCCTTTCTGTCCTTGTGACTGGTGCGCCGGCGATGACGTCTCCGTCGACGGTAGCTCTTAGGCACATGCACACCGATGTATATGGTGTGGTGACCTGAGAGAGTAAAATTGAGAAGATAAGTCAGGCTATTTAGATCACATGACATCACCCAAACCCAAGAAACACAAAAATACTTTTTTTTGTAAGAGCAAGAAAACAATTGCTCTTCAGCATAAGCACACTGCCAAAAAAAAACATAATAATTATTTTTGTCTTGTTTTACATTTAAAAAAATATGGACCACAAACATTTGAACGTTAGTGTAAATTGCCTTGCCTTTCAACAACTATGATATTAAAACAGCAGCAGTTATTTATCAAATGATGATTAAACAACAAAGTAGTTAACTGGGTTTAAATCCAGACACATTGAGGTTGAGAGCACTTTTGGTATTTTAAAGAAATAAGCAAGAGCCTGGATGATGGAATGATGCTGTGCATTTCCTTTAGTGAATCGCGGGCTAACGCATCCCAGACAAAATGTGCAAAAACAATGCTATCAGTGGCTGCAGCTCGCTCTGAGTGAATTCCCCTTAGTATATCAAAAAAGCCCTTGATGACGTAGATAAACACTTACAGAATTAATTGACTCAGCCAAGTCAAGTAAATACAATAATGTCAGTCCTAACATTGTTGTTGTCATGAGATAAAAGGCTCCCTTCTGTCAAGATAGCACAAGCCACGTGACCATCCCACAGCTACACACTTCAACATCTGTAAGATAAATAATGTGTAGTGTCACTGAGGTCAGGAGCTGAGTACCGACTGTTTCCTTGCGGCCCATTGGTTACGGCATATGACGCAACCTGAGTAAAAGACATAAAAAAGACAATTGCGCATGACTTCCTCAACGCAATTTATGCAGGAAATTGTGGATTTCACCGGAGGGGTTTGCAGCAGACTGTCAAACTAAACATTTTGGCTGGAACAGCTAGCAGGTAGTGTGGAACGTACAATGTTTAGATCCATATCATACAGACACTTTCCATGTCTCAGTCCCCCAGTCACATGAAGGACATCTGTTAAAACTACATCCCACACTGTGTTAATGTGTAATTTATTGAAATATTCTGTAATGCATCTCTAACTAGACCAGTGACATCAGTGCAGATCTGCAAACCAGACCTAATACAATCTATCCCTCAATTCTAAACTTTTTCAGGCTAGTGCTACAACTAAACTGAGATGTTTAATTAACCAGGCCATAATCTAACACGGCATGAGTTGTCAAAGAAGCAATTTATATTAAAGTGTGCATTTTAGCATCTATAATTAAACTAAAATGAAATGCATGTCAATATTAGTTAGAAAGGTCTTTCACAAAGCAAGTTTTCCAACCTCTGACTCCATAATAAACTGTTTTACTTAAAGATAAACACTTATTAGGTTTTGATGCACAACATGTTGACAACTAAAAATTTCGAGGTCCTAAATAATAAGGATTAGATTCTGGTCTGCAACATGGCAATCTGTGTCAAAAATGTTTAATTTAATACTTTCAGCCTGATCAGAGACTTCTAAAATTTCAGTATTTAAAGGGTTACAGTGCTGAACCACGTCTCAAATGAAGGTTTTATACAGCAATTAAAAGTATGAAAAAAAAAAAAAAAAAAAAAAAAAAAAAAGAGTACAGTAAAACTAAGTCGAAGTCATATTCATGTCATGTAGGATTTATTCAGGTGCATCTGTACTTGTTTATCCACAGCCAATTACAAGGCTGTCTTTACATCTTCAGCCCAGCTGTAGTGCCACAGGTCACATAGTGATCATGATTCACCCCATCAGAGAGACTAATAGACCACCACAGTGATTTATAAGCCTCATGACATAATCGAGCATGACGAGGTTAAACGCAGGACAATCACCGCCATTAGGCGACAGACGAAGCCACTGGAAGCAGTGGCAACATGTCCCATACTTCGTTCACACTACCAGCATTTTGCATGTTGCGAGTGACTGGCGGTAAGGTCGCTAGTGGGCGGTCCCAAGTATTGTGAATGACATTCACGGATGTTACTCCATATTGTAGACAACGCCCCACTGAATTGGTTGTCGCTCCAGAAAGTCACTCTTCATTTGCATAAAGTTATCACATATATCTCAACTTTGTCGCTACGCTGGACATGCCTACAACCTGTCGCCAATTGTTGCTCATTTCGCCGGAAATCACCAGCTCTCCACTGAAATCGGATCGTGTCGCTTTGTCACTGGTAGTGAGAATGCATCTTTAAATGGCTAGATAGAACAAGTCCAGATGACTATAGATGATATTAGGGGTGTAACGATGCCTTCGTGTCACGATTCGATACATATCACGAAACTGAACTCACGATACCATATTATTGTGATACTCCAACACATGATAAAAGGTTAACAAAAAATGCACTGTTAATTAAAATGCTAAATTTGATATTTCATTGTGGGTGTAAATGAATAGGATGGACTTGGTGCTGGAAACCCAATACAGGACAATAGAGACACCATAATAACAATATTCATGATTCTGAAGCTGAAAATACTGAATTATTTCAGACAAACAAGCTTGCACTGTCACTGACTAGATATATTTAAAATAATGTAGACCACATTTTACTGGTAACATCAGATATTTGGCATTATCAGGACCCACAAATATTCCCCCATTGCATTATTATTAGGGCTGTCAAATGATTAATCGTGATTAATCACATCCAAAATAAACGTTTTTTTTACATAATATATGTGGGTGCACTGTGTATAATTATTTTATATATATATATATATATATATATATATATATATAAATACACACACATGCTTGTATATATTTAAGAAATATTTTCATGTATATACTGTATATAGATTTATATATAATTTATATTATATATAAATATTTTATATATAAATAATATTTTTTTCTTAAATATACATGCATGTGTGTGTATTTATATATATACAAAATAATTATACACAGTGCACCCACATATATTATGTAAAAACAACTTATTTTGGATGTGATTAATCGTGATTAATCATTTGACAGCCCTAATTATTATACATTATATTCAACATATATAGGCTATGGCAGTTTAATGAAGTACTGACACTAAAACTCTGAAAACTTTTTTCACGCGCAGTAATTTCCATTGAAGGGGTGAACTATATACAATATATAGTCACTCACTATCCACGATACATATTGATGCATTTTTGTATTGCGATATATTGTGACGCAATATATTGTTACACCCCTAGATGATATGATGCGGTAACATTCTGTATTGTTTGTTTCTTGCTTTTATTTTCTGCATCGAAATTTGGTCTAAAATTACTTACTTTCCGATTAGTGGAAAAAAAGTTTTGCAAATAAATGAATACATTTTATGCAATAAGAAAGGTACATAATGTCTAAACAGAAAAGAAAATCCCTTGGTTTTCAATCCAGTGTATCCTGAATTTAAGTGGAGATTTCTTCTAAAACAGTTGATCTTTATTATATTTGACTCAATCGTGAAGATACGACTGCTACTGTTTTTATGATCTTATAAAGATTTTCCTCTGAAACAGAGACAAATCCTACATTAAACCTGCACGTTTTTGTGATAAAAGTCAAAACTGTCTCCGGGACTTTGAACTACAGTGCTCTAAGGCCCTTACAAATATCAAACAAAGCAAAATGACAATAATTATCCACTGAACTTTAACACAAAGATCTGTTTGTATTTGTAAAACATCACCCATTCTTATAAATTATGCAGAGTGTGTTTAAACTGGATTCACAGCCCTGCTGTCTCTTTTCTTACAGGATAATATACTCTCAGTCACCGAGAGATCACTGCATTTGGATGCAGTCCAAATTGTCTTTCCAAATGTGACATGCATTTTTAATTATTGAGTGTGTTAATCTCATTTTTTCATCTTATTCTTATCTTATCTCATTACCAATATGTGTAACTTCATTAGTACGTTCACAATAGATCATATTTAATGTTACAATATAATTTGTCACGATGTCATTGTCACAGTTTGACTCTTTAGTTTCCCCCGTCTCTGTGTATTTGGTTCAGTCCTGTGTCCCAGTTTTCCCGCTCCTCGTTTGTGTTCAGTTCCTTCACCTGTGTCTAGTTAATTTGCCCCAGCTGTGTCTTGTTCCCCTATCTGTTCTCTGTGTATGTAAACCCAGTGTTCTCCCTCACTCCTGGTCGGTTATTGTTTATGTTACATGTATGTGGTACTCCTCGTGTTCAATTAAATTCCTGTGATTACTTCCAAGTTCCTTGTCGTGCGCTTTATACACCCGAGATCGTGACAGTCATAGTATGAATGACTTTTTATGAATTACTGTTATTTTTTTTTTAATAGTATGATTTACGAATTATTTAGCAAAAAAAAGTCATCAATTATACAAAAAGCCATTTGATAAATAAAAAATTCTAACAGTATTTTATTTGGGGGGGAGGTGGGGGGGGGGCATCATGGGTATAAATCATGCAGTTTGAGGAAGTGACTTAATTATGTGCCTGTTTGTCTTAAGTTAAGAATCAGTCAAAATGGTCTGCTCCAAGGCACATTCAGCATCTTTTCTGCAAAACATTCTGGAAAATTGATTGTAAATTGTAGACATTTTGCTTTTTTCTTTGCTTGTTTTAAACAGAAAGATCATCGAGAACCATTTGTGAATAGGGATCCCACCTATGCTGGGATGGGCGAGAGCAAATAAGGAAAAGGGAGTAAGAGCAAGCACTAAGAGAAGGAAAGGGAGAGGTAAGAGGGAGGGAGGAACCACACATAGTCGAGCCAGCTTTGTGCCAAGCTTCCTGTTCTTTCGGAGGGACCCTTTTCTATGCGACCATAGAAAGAGAGCTGAATTGGAGTGGCACGCAATTCGTCACTGGATAAAGCGTATTCCCTGATTCTGGCTGGGACATTATGGGCTTCAACATCTGAGCACCTTGTGTTACCACAGTAACTGTTGAGATGGAGGGTACAAGTACAGAAGATAGCGACACGCTACTGTGCATGCTAATATAGATTCTAATAAAGGTCTAGGCTATATCTAAAAGAACTGCGACATATAGGCTCTTTGTCTAACAGGCACATGTTGTTATAGTTTACTTTGAGGGCTGGCCGACATTTTTTTGTTGTTGTTTTGGGGATTTCTAAGACTAATGTTTCTACGTTCAACAGTAACGTTTGGGGTCAGTAAGATTTTTCAAATAAAATTTTAATAAAATGAATACTTATTATTAAGCCACTCCATCCAATTCCCATCAGCAGTAATAGTACTTTCATTTAAATAGTAGTAGGGTCCTTCAAATATATGAAAAATGCAATTGTAATACAAAGTTTCTCTGGTTATGTTTAGAATAGCATACTGACATATTCTAGTATGAGAATATTCAGTATGCACAGATGACCTACTACATTTTAAAATGAACAGCGTACAACAGAACATACAGTGTGAAATACTCAATCCTACAATCCAATGTGCTTGACTTGACCTTCAATCCCCCCCCTCCCAGTAGTATTTCACACTGTATGTTCTGTTGTATGCTGTTCATTTTAAAATGTAGTAGGTCATCTGAGCATACTGAATATTTTCATACTAGTATAGTATGCTATTCTAAACATAACCAGAGAAACTTTCATTCAGTATCATTCTAACTCTGATTCTAGTTGTCTGACTAACAGTAGATAGATTAAAAAATGTAAAAAAAAAAAATAGTGTACTTTTCTAAGTACCTTCCCAAACAAGCTCCTAAACTACACTCTGATAAACAACACACACTAACACCCATTTAAATCTATCTTTGGACCGGAAGGAAACTGAGAGGGTAAACACAAAATCACCAGGTATTTGTGCCCTACATCTTCATCACCTTAAAGTAAACACTAAACGTTCCACTCAGATCAAACTGTATCAAAGCAAAACCAAACGACTCACACTTGGAAAAACAACAAATTAAACAATGAAAATAAGTGACTTTAGACTAAAAATTAGGTACTTACCTTCAACCTCTTCCTGATCACACAAGTGCTTGAGTAGCGAGGCCCCTCTGTCCAGCACGGCCTCATCCTCCACCCTATAGTAGTAAAAGAGGAAGAAAGACTGCTCACACTTCTCTTCTAAAGACAACGTGGAGCCATAACATCGCGGTTCATTCACTTGCAGTGTGTTTCTGCTAGTACTAGCCATTTTCCCAGGTTAGCAGATACCGCTAACAAGGGGGAAGTCTTTGGTTCTGGATCCAGCCCTGGTTAGTAGATGTGAGGAGTAACTTATGAGACACAGTCCTGTTCTGAGGCTGCTGCCCTTGAGGGTACGCAGGAGCGGTCAGGTAGACATCGGGAGGGTAATCCCGTCTATGGGGGATGGGGCGGGCTGGGCAGCCTAGTAAGATGCTAATTGAGTCTGATGTCCAGGAGGTGTGAGCCAGGCTGCCACACACAGATTTCAGATCAGCTAAAGAGCGATACTAATGCTAATACAACAAGTTACACGTGGGTGGAATAAACACTGAGCATGTACACAAACACTGTTTATGACAATCGGATTTCTCCATCTGGTCTATTATACTCAAAAGTGCACAAACACACACATTAAAAAAGGCTGGAGTAGTATCACACGGCTATGGGGCATTATTATATGCCCATGTGGCATTAAATCAATAATGAAATAACCTAATCAGTCCTTAGATGGAAAACTTTACAAACAAACAATGTGTACTGTATTTTTCTGGAAAATAAATCACGCTTGACTGTAAGTCACACCAGGGTCGAATTTGCAGTTGTTAGTAAACTTTCATCTGACCTGATCTGGCTAAAACTAGGTACTTCTCATTTTCTTATTTGTGCATTCTCTTCTTATTTTATTTTATTTTCCTATAAATTTGGTGAATGTCACAATAATATGCATGCATAATGAATTTTTTGGCTATTTATTAAAGAGTATGATGTTAGTTTCACAATGCTTCCATGTACAATAACACTAATTTGAATATTAACACATCAAAGGAATGTCTTTATTTTAGACTTCATCACACTCTGCATGTAAAAGGTATGCTGTAAACTCTGTGGTGTGCTTTACAATTGCATCTTGGGGGGACAATGTAGCCATTTGTCCACTATTGGGACAAAGATTTTTGCTCCTAGCGAGGTGTGACTGCTATTTGACACTTTAGGAAGAAGTCCAGACTGAAACAATTCAGGCACTGACATTTCTCTAAGGTGAGGTAAGACTAAAGGTGTGCAGAAAATGGATATGATGTTATTTGTCCTGATCGCAATCGTCATTTCAGGTTTGAAAATGAAGTGAATTTGACCTCTAAAATCCAATAAAACCTTCCTTTTTTTCTTTTCTTTTTTTGCCTTGAGAACACACTCAGATAATGATTTCCTCTGTGGGCTCCTTACAACATGAATTGTCACTGAATGTTTACAAAACCATAAAAACAAACGAAAATGTAAACACAAACAGGAAGGATAGAGCTTATTCCTCTGATAAGAGCACAGAGCTCCCTGAGCGCCCAGTGTCACTGCATATCTCGACTAGATGCAATCAGGCATGCTGAAACGATGCCAAGTTCAACCACTCAATTCTGTAACCCAGACTCATTGAAAAAAGCGTGCCTGTAGTGGCATTTCTGCACAATGATATCACATTGCTTCTTGCATGTTTCAGTGAAATGTCAAATGAGTTTATTTTGTTGGTTGTCTAACGAAATGAAATGTGGTGGCGCATCGAGAGGATTATGTGATACAAACGCAAACATGTATCAGTTTAGAAATCATGCACTATGGTAAAAGTATTTTAAGATCATAAAGTATTATGCAAGGGACCGCACGAAAATAAGTCTTTGTTAATCGATAATCTGCCCCTGTAATCATAATTTGTTTTAAAGTCACCATGAAGTCAAAATGGACGAATCTTACTTTTAATGGAGTATTGAAGTGTTTATTATAAATTATTTATCCGTGCATACATTATTTATGACTTAATTCATGTGCCTTAATCTTTAATCAAAATAACTTCCAAAAAGAAATACATTTTTAGAAGCTGTCGACCCCAAAAAACGGTTGTTTCAGGACATAAAAGTGGATCAATTGAGACAGAGCGCAACTAGTTCTCGAACTACTCCGAGAACGCGACATGATATTGTAAAAATGCTACAGATTAGCTTACATAAATATACTATATAAAACTGACATTTGGATATTTGACTTACCAGTGACAAAATGTTTACTGCACACTTAGAGTGTCAGGATCCCACAATTTACCCATTCTTAAATGCTGATGCTTCACGTCTTATTGCCTGTATCCACTTTTGTCTCCTTAAAGGCTGGCTTTCTGGGGTTTTTAGCTTGTTTGCTGTACACCTTGTCACGCAGCAGCTTTTAGGCATTTTTCTGTCTTTTGTTGTAAGTCATAAATGACAAGGAGGCAGCCTCTCGCAATGCAAAGTCAATGGAGATGGTTGGATTGGTAAGTTTTTTGGAGTTTTGCCAAAATGTAGATCGAGGCACGTTTTTCCTAGGTGACAGTCTATAGCACATCAAGCTATAGGTCACCCAAAGGGCTATTTAACTTTTATGAAAGTTAAAAGCTAACAGTTAGTAATACACTAACGACCATTTAAAAAACTATATCACCGAGGTGGCGGCGTGTGGGGGTTTTACAATTAAACATGTTGTTAAACAATAACTAGCCTATATACGGTAGGTTAACTGTGACCCAAACAAGGTGTAAATTATTGTATAGCACTTGGTTATCCGTGAGTCCGTGACGTGATATAATACTAGACGACTGGTTAAAAGGTCAATGAATATTGGCTAACACAGAGCTTGTGAACATGACTGTCTTTCTAACAGCTAGACTTTACACACAGCATGGTTAATACTGTTAATAGCAACCATCAACAATACCGGCTTTATAGACAGTGTCAAAAATGATAACCCGTATTATAAATCACAGACTTCTACAAAACAATCCTGTTTATAGTAATCTTACGTAATGTACAAATTGTAGGGAAAAAAAATCTCTTAGAGGCAAAGGTAGGCTCTCGATTAACCCAGGGTTTGTTAAAAGGTACAAAAATGCAAAAAAAAGTCGGCACTCTAAGAATACTTTATTTGTTACAAACAGGAGACAAAGAATATAAACGGTTTGATACGTTTGTATATTCTTTATCTCCTGTTTTGTAATTGTAACTAATAATGTTTTCTTAGAGTGCCGCCCTGTTTTGCATTTTTGTACTGATTTTTGTACTGCGTGAGTGTTTTGATTTGTTAAAAGGTAAAATATTTCTTGGAAAATACTTTTGTCGACCATTATGGGAAGTAGGCACAAAAAAAGGAAAGGATCCGCATTGAAACTGCTTTTTGAACATCACACTGTCCCATCAGATTAAAACTGTCCCTCTTCCTCCCCCAATCTTCATTGCCACCTATGGAACAGATATTGACACAGCAGGCACACAGTGCTCCTTCACATGAGATGAGTTCACCTCACGTTTCCTTAAAAACACTTTGGTGTCAATTGGGTAAAGTATCATTTCAGCGTTGCTGTCTTTGAGCAACTGACGACTGACCAGAATTAAGAACATATTTAAAAGTCTTTTAAGGTTACAAACTATTACAAACTAGCATAATAAACTACACCCACACTTAACAATACAAGCGGCAAGACTAGTAAGTGGTAACATTTTCAACTATTTATAAATAAATAAAATCTACACGGCCAATATTCCCATGAAGGCAAATGAAATCAATTTGTTCTCCCTTTTTTAAAGTGATTTCTTTAGGTTTTTATGCATAACAGTTTGGATTACATATCTGGCCTCACTTGAGAGAATAATTCTCCAATATGTTTATCTTCTGTATACTGTATAGCTGATTTTTGAGAACTGGAACATAGCAGGCTAAAAAGGAGAAAAAATATAGGCCCATGTAAATAAGTTTACATATTAATAAATTGTTTTGGATGATAAACATGAAAAGCATTGACCTGAGTTTGGGTGTAGGACTTGCATGTTTATTATAGGCTATAGGTTATAGGCTATGCATAATTCACATGAATGAATCACTCAATCAAGCCGACATTAGTTCCAATCGAACTGTTAGTTAATAAGACAATCTTAAGGTTTTGACCGTGCTGAAGGTGTTGATAAATTAGCCACGTTTTGCATAACATATATTAAATGCAGTAGCCAACTTGTTCTGATAAAGTTAGTTACTAATAACTTAAAATGAGGGACATTACTAAAAACTATAACAGAATGTCTTCATAATTTGTATGATTGAGTTGACCGAGACAATGGCAGAAATCATTAATGTAATTACTTAAAACTGCAAAGCTGTAACAACAACAAAAAACACTATAAAGCTAAACAGAGCTTGTGATGTTGAACTTACAGCAGATTAGATATGGAAAGAGGACCTTCAGAATGACTTAGCTATTCATTTTATAAAGGTTTTCGTGCATTGCCTATGACGGCACTGGAAAAAAGTAGGGACGTAAAAACTTATAATGATAAAGTTGTCCCATGTGTGAAGACTCATTCAGATAAACAGTGTTTGTTATTGTATAGGGGCTTTCAGATGCTATTCTTCTGCTATGAATTGGATGAAACTTGTTAACTGAACTGTAACCCGAATCACAGAACCGGTAGGCTAAATATAGCAACAGTTTTCAGGGTTTCTTACCTCTTCCCGGCGCTCATTTTGTGAAGTTGAATAGCTGATAATTTATTCCAGTGGTTTGATGTTTCAGTCCAGCGCGATCAATGGAAACACTGCAACGGCAAACGTTTCAACTGTCCGGTTACTGGGCGCTCTCAAAACATTGACAACACTGGTTTTAATTACTCCTTAGAATAACTTTTTCTAATAGCAAGAAGAAAAAAGTGACAAAGAAAAGAACATTAAAAATACCTCCAGTTCTGTCTGAATGTGCCCCGCCGCATGTGAGAGACGCGCGTCTGCTGAAGCAGCAGAACAACTGGACGCTTCAAAATGCGCGTTTCATTTATTACTAGCCGCTGCTAGTCACGTCACAGCACGAGTGGGGTGGGAGGTCAAGAAGTTTACCTTGAGTAAGATGAGACTTACACATATTTCTCTGAGAAGACGGCAATCCAATACCGTAGGAAGACGACTGAACATGGTACTTCAGTGTAGACATAAGTAAACCGAGTGTCTAGTTTAATGTGCGCTCATTTGATCAACGGATTCAAAGTGGACCCGAAGTTTGGCGGAGGGATGAAAGAAAGCAGGTACTCCGCGCGCGCGCGCCCACCTTGTGGCTACTTCACGTTCACGTGAGACACAGCGACACCTTCTGAAGAAATCTCACACAGTCAGACAACATGGTTACTCAGGTAAATCAAAATACACGTTAGGTAAAACGTGTGAAATGTTATGTTATGTTATGTTATGTTATGTTATGTTATGTTATGTTATGTTATGTTATATTATGTTATGTTATGTTATGTAAAACAAACAGAACACAATGCTACTTAGACACATACACATTTACACACAAACACTCTAGTCTAGTACATGATAAATTATTAAATGCTCAGTCGGAGAGCCTCTCTCTGAAAGGTCAGCCATTCTTTTGCTCTCCCCTGTAGGGATAAAAGCCATATGTGCAAAGGGAGTGGACTCAAGTCCAGATATGTTAGAGGATGGTAGGCAAAAATAATGGTTGAATTTTTTTTTTGTACGTTTTTTTTTATTTTATTTTTATTAATTTATTTTTTTAAATGTATACACATTATTGTCTTTAGTTTCTTTACACACACTCTAATCTTGTTTGTTTGTTTGTTTGTTTGTTTGTTTTTTGTCTGAATCACATTAGGCAGAACACTTCATTATACTGTGGGTGAATGAAACTTTGATGGTGGTGGAAATTAGCCTAACTGATAACTATTAATAATAGCTGTTTTTTATATTTGCGCTTTTGAGTTTTGAACTGTAGCTGATCTTTTGTCTAGTTTCAATTAAATAATTTAGAAATGTCAATAATTTTCTTTTAGAATAAATTTGTTTTAATGATTCAAAGGTCTCCTACAAGCTGCATGGAGAATAGATGGATGAATTCAAAGATCTTATTTTCGGAGCATAATGAAAATTGTCAGCATTACAATTTATACCATTTATGTTTTTGATTTAGAATATTTTCTGTTGCTTTCATAGAGATGCTCATTTTGTAGTCCTATAAAACTCAGAAGAGATTTAGCATTTATAGCCTTGTGTTCCCTTGGAAATTTTGTATGGGTTTTCATTTTAAAAGTATCTGTTAACATTACTTAAAAAAGATTCCCCGTTTTGTTCAACAACATAAATTACACATTCTAATTAATTAACTAATTAGAGGTTAAATAATGACTACAATGATCGACAAATCAAACCGTATATCCGAGTGAAAAGGCATGTCATCAGAGAAGAGAGGAGATGTTGCTGCAAGAGGGAGGTGAAGTTATTTTGATTAAAGATTGCAAGATAAATAAATAATATAAATTCAATCCTTACTTGATTCTCTGTTTATTTTGCCTTGTTTTCAAACACACTATTCATTGTAAAATAAAATATTCTTTAAATGTTGCCCATATGTTTGCAGAAAAGAATGAAGACATTATGAGTTGCCTTCAAACTGTGTCAGACAGGCTGAAGGTTGCTATAGTTATGTGGACGGACAAGGACAGAAGTAGGCTATGTGTATGGTGTTATCTGCAGGTTTTGAATAAGCAAAATAAACCACTGAAGGGATTTTGAAGGCCTTGTTGCTCTATTGACTTTTTTCTTTTCTTGGCAGACACTCTTAATCCATTCTCTTGAACTAAAACATCACTCTGAGAGCTTTCTAAAGCATTTATTGTATGATGGCATGCAACAGTTTTGAAGTTTCAACTGTCTCTGAACATTTTTGATCCAGACAGTCTTATTTCGATGTTTCTTGTAGTTTGGAGACTCCTGGAATCTATGCAGTTTCCCTCTTCTGGAATCATCCCTTTCCTTCTTGTTTTCCTTCTCATAAATACTATACTTTTACAAGACAAGTACACTCACCTTGAGGCAAGAGGAAAATACACACACACAGACACTCAGATCAAGAGAGGATCTTGTCATTGACTCCATGAAGATCATGTCACTTAAAGACTGCTGTGTATTGCCTTCGAGTTATATAATTGCTTTTTGGGAGACTTACAGTAAGAGCTATCAAAATACAAATCTATATCCATCAGCATACTATTAACCAAACCAAACTTGACCATTTGTGAACTCAAAAACCATCATCATCATCACAAAATCTATAATGAAAAAAAAAGAGATTTTTTAAAGGGCTGAAATCTTTAAAGTGGTTTTAATCTATCATGTAGCTACATAACTCATTGGTATCATCATCAAGATACGTAGGCTACTCTTTAGACTCTTGTAGGAGCATGAGAAATAATTTTGCGTTATCATTATCATAGTTCATCTTGATCATTTTGAGTATGTGGGTGTCATGGGGCTGGTTGTATAAACATAAACGAAGATGAAGAAGAAGGCAATAAGGTGATATTTAATAAATCCAACGGGTAATCCAAACGAACAGAGCTACATACACATCCACAATAGACGACACCGGACACTGAACTGAAACAGAACCGAACATATACAGGTGATAATGATGGTGATTGATGAGTGCACACCTGAACAGAATAAGTGTCCGTGACAACAAATAAATGACTTTGGCAGACGATGACCAAACACAACAAGTCCAAACTAACGTGATTGTGACAGAACGCCCCCTCCCGGTTAGGCGCGGGAGAAGAGGAGACGAAGAGGATGAGGGGATGGCGAAGGCATGGTACAGACAGGCAGGAGGAAGTACTAGGGCTGGATGGACGACCGGGAGAAGGACGATCAACAAAGTCCAGGGTGGGGATGAAGGTGAAGTGAGGCAAGGGATGACCTTGAGCAGGGGATGATGGCTCTTCATCCAGGCCACAGCCAGAGGAGTGTCCCATGGTGGCGTTGATGGAGGGAGGAGCCATGGAGGAACACCGATGAGGGCCGCCATGGGGTTTACAGGACAGGAGGCAATGACGGCATGAATGGAGCCCACCGCGCAGCCAATGAGCCGAGGTGGTAGAGAGATTACGACGAACTAGGTGGCCGCGACTGAGCCTCAGTGACGACCTCCCGAGATCGAGGTGGAGATCCGGAGGTCTGTGGGCAAGCTGGAGTGACCAAGGGCGGAGGCGGAGCCTGAGGTAGAGCGGAGCGAGCCGCAGCTGAAGGGGTGGAAGACCAGAGAGCAGCAGACAGGTGAAGCTATTTCTGACCCAGGTGGAGCCGACATACCGAGGGAGTACGGCGAGGCTGAATGGCCGATGGTCCACGCTGAGGTCGAGGGAAGAAGGAGCACCGGTGCCAGGGCAAAGGGTTGAGGCAGATCGTAGCACACCGAGGGTACGGGTCTCACTTCCGAACCCTCGAAGTCCACCAACACTTCCTCGCGAAGGATGGGAAAAAAATCTTTGTGAATCTTACAAAACACGTCGCTATTTACTTTGTTGGTCCGGTGTTCTGTCCCGGGGCTGGTTGTATAAACATAAACGAAGATGAAGAAGAAGGCAATAAGGTGATATTTAATAAATCCAACGGGTAATCCAAACGAACAGAGCAACATACACATCCACAATAGACGACACCGGACACTGAACTGAAACAGAACCGAACATATACAGGTGATAATGATGGTGATTGATGAGTGCACACCTGAACAGAATAAGTGTCCGTGACAACAAATAAATGACTTTGGCAGACGATGACCAAACACAACAAGTCCAAACTAACGTGATTGTGACAGAACGCCCCCTCCCGGTTAGGCGCGGGAGAAGAGGAGACGAAGAGGATGAGGGGATGGCGAAGGCATGGTACAGACAGGCAGGAGGAAGTACTAGGGCTGGATGGACGACCGGGAGAAGGACGATCAACAAAGTCCAGGGTGGGGATGAAGGTGAAGTGAGGCAAGGGATGACCTTGAGCAGGGGATGATGGCTCTTCATCCAGGCCACAGCCAGAGGAGTGTCCCATGGTGGCGTTGATGGAGGGAGGAGCCATGGAGGAACACCGATGAGGGCTGCCATGGGGTTTACAGGACAGGAGGCAATGAAGGCGTGAATGGAGCCCACCGCGCAGCCAATGAGCCGAGGTGGTAGAGAGATTACGACGAACTAGGTGGCCGCGACTGAGCCTCAGTGACGACCTCCCGAGATCGAGGTGGAGATCCGGAGGTCTGTGGGCAAGCTGGAGTGACCAAGGGCGGAGGCGGAGCCTGAGGTAGAGCGGAGCGAGCCGCAGCTGAAGGGGTGGAGGACCAGAGAGCAGCAGACAGGTGAAGCTATTTCTGACCCAGGTGGAGCCGACATACCGAGGGAGTACGGCGAGGCTGAATGGCCGATGGTCCACGCTGAGGTCGAGGGAAGAAGGAGCACCGGTGCCAGGGCAAAGGGTTGAGGCAGATCGTAGCATACCGAGGGTACGGGTCTCACTTCCGAACCCTCGAAGTCCACCAACACTTCCTCGCGAAGGATGGGAAAAAAATCTTTGTGAATCTTACAAAACACGTCGCTATTTACTTTGTTGGTCCGGTGTTCTGTCCCGGGGCTGGTTGTATAAACATACACGAAGATTACGTGTGTATACACAGTTACGTGATTTATTGGTACACTACTTTTATTTCATGACTTACTAATTGACAACAAGACTATGACGTTGCATGTTCGTAGTGTCTTTTGCGCTAGTGGAGAGATATACAACGCGCGTGGCCGCATTTGCACGTGCAATAGGCTCTATGCACGATCGCTTCCGTGTTTTGTCTCAGCCCGCCCAGTTACATCCGGTGCTGCGTCGGAAGCCGTTTTTGCATTAGGTGGAGATAATGGCAAATTACACTCGCTGTTTACAAGAACTTCCAGCGGTTAACGTGAATGATGTTAACAAAACTGTGAGGCAGTTAGCTGTC